CAGGAGGAGCAGGGGGCAGGCCTAGTGGCTGGACTTCAGATTTCTCAATAGGCCTCCATCCCAAACACCTCTGCCACCAATCTGCCATATTCCCTAAAACCCTCCCATCAGTTAATTTCCTTTAGACTCGAGGTTTTCACTAAACTACTCCAGAAGACAAGTCAGTGCCAGCCATGGATTCCACTGTGAGAATGAATGTACAGCTGTTTAATAGGACAACAAGCAGCAAGCTGGGCACTGAGGAAAGGGAACAGAACAAGATTCGCAAGGGGAGAATGGGAGGGCAGAGGACCAGGGGCAGAACATGGAACAAGACCGGCCATGGAGGCCAGGACTCCAGCACTCAGGGGGTGCAACAAGGACAGGTCTCCTGGAAACAAAGGAGGCAGCATGAACCCCTCCACCCCCTCCTACCCTAACGGTGCACAATGCTCCAAGAATAACATCTTATGTTTGTAAAGGTTTTAGAGCTTACAAAGCCCTTCACACAACAATCACCTCATGGGGTCCACACAACAACGGAAAAGAGGCAGAACACAGATACCCGTTTCAAGGTCAATGATTCTGAAGCCCAGATGACTGAGTAACTAGTAAGCAACAGAGCTGGGTCCTTCCAACTCTTGGTCCAGCTTCTCATGCACAGTGGTTGAGTGCCCATCTGATGACACACAGATCTACTAGTAGAGGAAACCCAAACTCTGAGACTGATTCGTCTTAGAATCTGTGCAAGTTATCTGACTCCTCGAAGCCTCATTTCTCTTCTGCAAAATGGGGATGTAACGAAGATCTCCTGAGGAAGGTTCTTAAAAGAGCTTAGCATGGTGCCTGGCACACAGAAATCAAGCGACATAAGCCATTAGCTCTCATTACTGGTACCCATGACACAAAGCAGGGCTCTAACCTGCCGTTAGGATCACCCGAGATGCCCAGCATGCCTGCCACCCGGGCCGCTCACCAGACTAATTCACACTATGCAAGTATATGATCCAGACACTTGTATTTCTTTTCTTTTCTCTTGCTCTCTCTTCTTTTTTATTTCTTATATGCCTCTTAAGTGATTCTAATGCAAAATGTCACAATTAAGAATAACATAAAGCAGTATCTCTCAAGATCTACAGTGCATTCAAATCACCTGAGGGTCTTGTTAAACTGCAGACTCAGTAGAGCTGGGGTGAGGTTTGAGACTCTGCATTTCTAACATGCTCCACAGAAAGGACTTAAGAGCCTCAGCTGGTGTGGCTCAGTGGTTGAATGTCAACCTATGAACCAGGAGGTCACAGTTCGATTCCTAGTCAGGGCACATGCCCGGGTTGCGGGCTCGATCCCCAGTGGGGGGCATACAGGATGCAGCCAATCAATGATTCTTTCTCATCATTGATGTTTCTATCTTCCTCTTCCTTCCTCTCTGAAATCAATAATATAGATAGTAAATAGATAGATAGATATCCTATATAATAAAAGGCTAATATGCAAATTGTCCCCTCTACTGGAGTTCGACGGGGAATTTGACCAGGGGGGAGGGTCAGCTGGCCAACCTCCCACATCCCCTCCCCCCTGGCCAGCCTGGTCGGCCCCGATCAGGGCAGGCCTGCCAGATCTGACCCATGCACAAATTCATGCACCGAGCCTCTAGTTCTATATAATAAGAGAGGAATACGCTAGTTATCCATTATGCCGTAATGTCACAACCAATCTACAAATGGTGGAGAGCTACAGGAGGGCAGGGCAGTGAGCTATAAGCAGAGAGAGCTACAGGAGGGCGGGGCAGCGAGCGATGAGCAGCAGAGAGCTACCAGCAGCAGAGAGCTACCAGGGGCGGTGGGCAGGTGGTCAGCTGAGGCAAGTGGCAGTGAGCTACTTGCGCACAGATTCGTGCACAGGGCTACTAGTATACATATAAAAGGCTAATATGCTAAGTGTCCAACCATCCGACCAGTAGCTATGATGCACCGTGACCACCAGAGGGCAGACGCACAACACAGGAGCTGCCGTGACGTGTACAGAGAAACGGCACCACAGATCTGACGCCCACAAAGCAACACTCAGCCTTCCCCAAGTGGGACACCGGCCCCGCCACTACCCCGAGTGACACCCCACCATGAGAGGAATCCACCTGTTCTACTCCATAAACCACAGACTGCATCTTACAAGGACAGTTTTTTCAAGGTGCCAATTGAAAACAAAAACATTTCCCCAGATAAGTACGTGACTTCGGGAGTTTAAAGGCAGCTAACAGTGGAAAGCTCAACTAGGCATGCAAAAAAAATGCGCTGCCTGCCTGCGTTCTACCTAAATACCGTTCCTCTGAGATAGGAGCCAGCTGAACACACCTGGTGCACAAAACCTGGAAAAGTAATGAAAACGGAATCGAACAGATAGGATAGGAAAACACTATAAATGAACAGAATGTATTTTACTAGTTAAAGGAATGAAGCCATTCAGAATACAACTGTTCTCTGCAAATAAACCTTCCCCCACCACATCACCCTGTAAACGGAAACACCATACCTGATGAGATCGGGCTCCGCACCCTCGTTCTTAAAGGATGCCAGGAGTAGTCTCTCTCGAGTTACAAGATCATCCAGGAGGTTCTGTCTTCGGTCCCCTTCAAGCTGTGTTCTGCAGACATCTCGTTAAGGTCCAACAGGGTGTGAATGACCTCATTCTACCTATCACGTTATTAACTGAGCTGACTGCTCAGACTCTAGTCCATCCTGTCCATAAAGATTTGAACCACTCTTCTTCTCCTGCTCTGACCTTCAATTTCGAGGTCGTTCAAGTAAAGGACCTTGACTGACCATCACAGGGGACGTACAAACACTGGGATGGACCCATCACACAGTTCCTTCACTGAGGAATGCAGTAGGTGACCAGTATTTTCCTCCCAGCGACCAACAGTGAAACGATCATTCCTGCCCAGCAGGGCAGTCTGACTCAGGGATTCCTTAGGTTTTCAGTTACAGCAGTCAATGGTCAAGGGTGTTTTCCTTGACATCAATATGCTAAATACTCTGTTAAAAAAGAAAAAGAGGGGAAAAAAGGTTCCAGTATTGCCTTCTTCCTTCCATGTTAACACCAAAGTGCCACTTTATGCAACAGGTTTGCTCTAAAAGTTGTTACCATCAGTTCATTATTTAAATACACTGCATGATCTTTAAAGAAAATTACAAGGAGATAATCATATTTTAATCTGTTGATCTACTAATAAGCATGCTGGACTAGGAAACCTAGAAGTCCTATTTTGAACACTATCTATGATTTTGAACCAGTTATCTCACCTTTTTTAACCCCTTTTCCAGCACAATTCATAAGTTATGGCTAAAACAATAAATCAGGATTAAATCCCAAGTTTTATATACTAGCTTTCTTGAAGCAAACTACATGAGCTCCTCTAGGCTGTGTGTGTGTGTGTGTGTGTGTGTGTGTGTGTATCTGTGTGTGTGTTTGTATCTGTGTGTGTCCATGTGTTTTTTAAAACACAAAATAAAGGAACTATTGATGGAGAAAACTTCTGCCATAAAGAGAACGAGTGGAGAAAGCTAAGGAACACCTTTGAAAGGACATATATGACAAAATACACAAAAAGCAAGCACCAAGGTGAGCCAGCTCAACACGCTGGGTTTCATCTGGCTTTTACTTTTCTATTAAATGCCCTTTGTCTTCCTAGAGCTGAAACACTGGTGACTCAAAGCCCTGGCCACCACGACCTGCTCTAGAAGACGCTAGTGAGACAGCTGCGTTGGACTTACAGATTCTTTTCTTGTTAAAAGAGGGACAGCACCACTGCATTCAGGCCCCCAAAATTCTAAGGAATTGGCAGAATCAAGTAGTAGCATCACCACTGCCTGGTGAATAAGGAAAAAACTGTGGCCCAGTGAATCTACAGCTTGTGTTGCTAATTTTGAATACAACGAGCTGGCTAGCTAGTAAAACAGTAAATAAACCTGTAAAATTTTTCCCCAAAAACAGATAGCAGTTAGAAAAGTCATAAATATCCCAAACCAATGTAGCTAAGCAGTGTTAGTGGCCTTACATATAAAAAAATAATAGTAAATGAATTCTCTCAACATTCCAGAATGCCATGCTTTTCCGAGTAAAATTACTACCACCGCTTTTCCATTTCCTTCTTGACTGTAATCACTAAGTACCCATCATAGAGACCATGAAGTAGCAGCTCTAACTAAGATACAGTGGTTAAATACTTATTCTGTATTAATAAAAGGGCCAAATATTAGCAACATCAAGAATAAATAGTGATGTGCTTCAAATTAGTGGTAAATAGTCAATAAAGCAGGCTTTTCTTCTATCTAAAGCAGCGGTTCTCAACCTGTGGGTCGCGACCCCTTTGGCGGTCGAACGACCCTTTCACAGGGGTCACCTAAGACCATCCTGCATATCAGATATTTACATTATGATTCATAACAGTAGCAACATTACAGTTATGAAGTAGCAACGAAAATAATTTTATGGTTGGGTCACAACATGAGGAACTGTATTTAAAGGGCCAGAAGGTTGAGAACCACTGACTAAAGGAAGTTCCTCAGAAAAGAAAAACAGAAATGACAGAAGCTATAACATGAATTACATAGGACAAAACAGGAATTTTAAATTGTGGAAACTATTCATTATGTCACAATACTATGCTCAACCTACTCTGGCATCCTGTGGTTTTCAGCATCCAACACCCAAGCAAACATAAGCTCAACTATAATCCAATGTTACAATTAAACACAGATTTAACTGGCTCAAGGATTTAAACATAAAAAGTAAAATGACAGGAGTATCCTTAGAAGAAAACATAGGAGAGCTTTTTAATAATCTTGGAGTAGTTAAAATCTTTCTGGATTGAAAACCTAGAGGCATGAAGGAAAAGATAAATCTGGCTACATAAAAATTTTAAATATCTGCCCAAAAAATTACAAGTTACAAATTAATAGTGGCAAATTTAGAAAGGCAAAAGACATAACAGAGCACAAGAAAAAACACTAATAACTCTAATCAAAGGACAAGCACTTCGTTCTGCATTAGTAAGAGAAATGCAGAATTTAAATAATATAGCCATTTCAGCTATCTGCAGGGAACCGTGGCAAGCAGTTCTGGAAAGCGGGCAGGAATCAGGACTCTCAGACAAGCAACCAACTGCCACACTGCCTTCCAAATACCTAACAAGATGTAAATGGCACATTCTTTCAAAGGAATTCCTCCTGCAGATATATTCTCACATCTATACAGACTCAGAAAGAAAGATGGTCACTGCAGCATTACTTATTATAGCAGATTCTGGAAACATCCTGAAGTTCATTAATAAGGAACTAATGCATCTACATAACGAAATGCTTTGCAGCCCCCAGAAATCTGGGGAAGCTCCTTATGTACCAATGATAATGATAATTAACATTTCTGAGCACTCACTAAGTGAGCCTGTGAATTATTTGATATGGAATCATCTGCAAAATGCAGCATTAAACCAAAAAATAAAAATAAAAAAAGCAGCAGCAGCAAAGAGCTAAACAGTAAAGAGTACGTTCCCACTGTGTTAAAAAAAATCAGATAGCCGTATATATGTTTGTATATACGCAGAAAATTCCTGGAAGGATATGCAAATAGCTAAGGAGGGGGAGCTGGGAGTTCAGGGTGTGAGACTTACTGTTCATTGAATACTGTTTCTATCGTTTGACTCTGCCATGTGCCAATTAATAAAATAGTTTCAAAACCATATGTATAATTATTACACCTTTATAGTCAACAGATTTTTGTATTTTCATCTATACAGACATTTGTTCATGCCTAGGAAAGCCTGGATGACAGGTACCAACCATCAACACTGCTAACTATGGAGAACGATGGGCAATAGGATGGGGACGAGGAAAAGAACAGAGTCACTGGTAAAAACTAACAAAAAGAAGTGTGAGGGGAGAGAGTACTCTTAACCATAAAAATAATAAAGACACGTTTTAAAATTTAGCAGACACTAGTTACAGATTTAAAGTAGTTAAGAATGGACTGATTTACTTAGAGCCGTACAGCTCGGTGAGTATGTTTTGTAGACGAGTAACTGAAGAACAGTCACAGGCAGTGAATGCCAGAAGAGGCCTCAGAGGTCCCTGTTCCAACGCCCCTGTCCTGACTGGGACTTGAGGGCTAAGTCCCGTGGTTGGTGATGGCGGTGCTGGGCTGGCACAGCTCCTCCTGCTCTAAATCATGGCCTGTCAGCCACACCTGCTGGGCTTGCTACCAAAGCACTCCGGGCTTCTCCACCCTGAGGTTCCCAGTACTGGGCATTGAATTTTGCCCCTTCTTAGCATCCTTTTAAAAACAATAACAAAACTGGTACTATTAATTCAGAATATTCCCAGAGACTCCCTGGAATCTGGGAAAACTAACCAATACTTCACTAGGAACACTCCACCTCTTTATGTTTATTTTAATCTATTCAGAGAACAGAGCATAAGGAGATTGGAGGGTAGAGATTGTTAACAAGAAGCTAAAGAATCATCTAGGCCCGTGGTCGGCAAACCGCGGCTCGCGAGCCACATGCAGCTCTTTGGCCCCTTGAGTGTGGCTCTTCCACAAAATACCACGTGCGGTCGCGCACGTACAGTGCGATTGAAACTTCGTGGTCCATATGCAGAAGTTGGTATTCTGTGGAAGAGCCACACTCAAGGGGCCAAAGAGCCGCATGTGGCTCGCGAGCCGCGGTTTGCCAAGCTGCAGTTTGCCGACCACTGATCTAGGCAATGATCATACTGAGTGTATGTACACTCATGGTAGTTAGGTGTGGGGACAGGTTAAGGAAGGACAAGAAAGTGGTCAGTGGTAGCTGTAACTTTTACAATCTATAATAATAAAAGCGTAATATGCTAATTGACCAGACATCCTTCAGGCTGCAAGGGAAGCCCAGGTCCTGGGTGCCTGCCGGCGGCTGGAGGGAAGCCCAGGTCCAGGTGCCAGAGGGAAACCGGTGCCGGCAGCTGGGGGAAGGAAGGCCTACTCTTGCATGAATTTTGTGCATTGGGCCTCTAGTAATAAAATAATAGCCCGGCCAGCATGGCTCAGTGGTTGAGTGTTGACCTATGAACTTGGAGGTCACGGTTCGATTCCTGGTCAGGGCACATAGTAAAAACTAACAAAAGAAGTATGTAGGAAGAAAGTAAGTTTAATCATAAAAATAATAAAGACAAGTTTTAAATTTTAGCAGACACTAGTTACAGGTTTAAAGTAGTTAAGAATAGACTAATTTACTTAGAGAACATCAATTTCAAGAGCAGTACAACTCTATTGTGGGCTCAATCCACAGTGTGGGGTGTGCAGGAGGCAGCCGATCAATGATTCTCTCTCATCGTTGATATTTCTATCTCTCTCTCCCTCTCCCTTCCTCTCTGAAATCAATACAAAAATATTTTTCAAAAAAGAGTAAAATAATGAGTAGCAGCTAATTCTCAAGGAGGGCTTATTATATGCAAAGCACCTTCTATCTATATAATTTAATCCTCACAACAACCCTATAAACCAGGTCTACTTTTGTTATCCCTTTTTCTTTCACAGATGAGAAAAACGAGGCACAAAGAGATTAAGTAACCTGTCCAAGGTTACACAGAAAGTGCCGCTAACTATCTTTTATTCTACACCCACCACATGGGGGCCTAGTCCTGTGAGGTGCTTTAAATATATTTCCTTCAACGTTCACAAGAGCCTCGCAAGGTCTGATTATTCCCACTCTACAGAATGAAACAGGTCAAGAAGGGCTACACTGTTCCTTGGCCTGGCGGAAGTGGCAAGGCTGGTCTTCCATCTCAGTTCTGTCTGGTCCCAAAGCCAGTGTTGCTCCTACTTCTCCAGCAGTGCCTGGACTTGGATTTCATGGAGCAGAAACACTTGCAGACAAAGGTGGGAAGGAGGCAGACTGACATGAAGTTACCAACTATCCATTTTGCCGCATATGGACATTGAGAAAAACCACAACAGACAAAACTGCTTTTCCTGTCATGATGAAAAGATTTTAACATTAAAACTAGAAAGAACCGTGTAACAGACTATACACGAAAAGGTTTCTGCTGACATAAACGCGATCTGGTCCTTATTTTTCTCACATCACTAGGCACAGTGAAAGCGGTCACGGGCAGGTGCAGGGTCTGAGAACCACTGCGCTTCCACTGAAGCCACGCGGGCTGTCACTGAACTATCCAGTTGGCCTCTCCGCACCCACATTATGGGGTGTGTTAGAAGGTGCTTGCTGCATCTATCCTTCCATCCACCTTTCTACCTACCCTTTTCCCCAAAAAATAATACAAAGTGGAGAAAAGTCATTCATAGATTTGTAAAAAATTATTCTACAAAACGTCTCCCAAGACACCAAAACATCTTTTGATACTGAATCCCTTTGTAAAGAGATTTTAAAATTCACTTTACATGCCGCCTTTGAAAACCCAAGCGCCACGAAAAGAAATTCGAGTGCCACCTGAAATTTCACATGCAGCTCCTGTAGCACATACCTCTCTCAACTGGTGAGGCTATTACAATTCCATCTCAAAGGAGCTCTGTGAATAGAAGCTAATGTCTTTCAGCAATTTAAACTCTCTGGCTGCAGGACTTTGGTTTATGAATTGCAAACTAACCGATTCAAAAGCACAGAACCTCCATTTTAATTTCACATTTATTCTTGCCAGAAGAAAAATACTTTTTCGGGAAAGAGCAATAACATCTTATGCCTGAACTCCATGAATTTAATTGTTTGGAAGGCATTTTCATAGGACTTACCTTTCTGGCAACTCCTAGTGTTCTTTGGAAAGAGTCATGAATGCAGAAGGGCATAAATTTACTCAGTAAAGTACCATAAACTCTCAACTACCCGACACAGTAAGGAAATGTGGCATTCAAATATGCACATTTAAACAGTCACCCATCATTAATTATGCCCTGAAAACAGGATTAAAAAGTCACTCTACTGGCGATTTATGGACAAAAATTTTTCTAAGAACTACAACATCATAAAGTGGACCTAATAAGCCACAGGGAACCCTGTTTAATCTCCGTGATGATGAAGAAGGGTCTGGAGCATCTGCACCATGAGGATTTGTCCTGGCACTGCAGCAGCGCGCCAGCGAACAGGGAATTCTAGTTGAAGACGTGCCAAGTGACAGTTGACTGTGTAATCTCTACTCAATTGGAATTCGGCTTTTAAACAACTGGCTTTGGGGCCAGACAGCCCCGCGTCTGCATCTTAGCTCTTCCATTTCGCAGCTGCGGGGTCCAGGGCACATTACTTAAGATTTCAAAGGTGCCTCTCCTCAGTGTGAAAACCTCTGCTAAAGGCTGGGTTCTCTCTCCAACTCCATCAGTGACTTAGGGTATCGCACAGTCAATACTCTTTTTGTAACGAAGGGAAGGAGCCACCCAAACAAACTAACAATATGAGCTTATTTAGACTAATAAGTTGCTATCTGATATACCTAAAATCTGGAGAATAACTGCCATAGAATTGCTTAAAATACCTGGGAAGAGGAAGATCAGGGGAAGAGCTGTGGGGGGGAGAGAGAATTAAAAAGAGGCCTTCGTAACAGAAACTGCCTCCTTCTTTCCTTTCTATCAAAAGTCCCTCAGAAAATACAGAGGTTTGCACCCTCGGTGGTTTAGCTCAGTGAATAGAGCATCGGCCTGCAGACTGAAGGGTCCCAGGTTCAATTCCAGTCAAGGGCACATGCCCGGGTTGGGGGCTCAATCCCCAGTAGGGGGCATGCAGGAGGCAGCCGATCAATAATTCTCTCTCATCATTGATGTTTCTCTCTCTCCCTTTCCCTTCCTCTCTGCAATCAATAAAAATATACTTTTTAAAAAAAGACAGAGGTTTGGATGGTCCTCATGGGGTGGATTATATAAATTTCATCCTTAGTATTGGTTTTATTCCAGCAGATACAGACCCAATTGTTTGAAAAATATATATAAGATTTAAAGAAAGCTGTTATATTCCAGTTGAGTTTTGTAGTTCTCCTAGGAAAGTCTAAATTATCCACATTAAGGTCTTTAAATATTTTCATAATGTTGTTTAATAATTCTGTTTGGTATTTTTAAATGCTTAGTGCTTAATTCAGCAATTCTGAGATCACCACAAAACCAAAATCTAAGAGATTTCAACAGATGGTCAGACTGCAAGCATGTAGAAGAACAAAGTCAATTTTTAGTGTGGAATGCTTACTACTCTCTATAATTAACAACTACCAGAAATTATTATAACAGAGAAAAGTATGAGTTTTTAATTTGAATCTTTTGTGCCTTACATGCTTTGCACATAAATATTATTAGATGAATAATAATCAGTTACCTTAATGGAAGTTAGCAAATACATAGTTGTTAATATTGCCTTGTGTGATAATATTTAATTACCTTTCAAATATATGTGCTTTAGGTAACAACAAAATGAAATTTCACACCTTGACCTCATGTGCAGACTTTCTAGTACTTAGTACTAAAGTGGAGAAAATAGCCCTACCAATCTAAAACTACTTGAGCGCTATATATTAAGACTTGTTGATTTTGATAATAAAAACTCTGTATATAATAGATTAACTGTGCAGCAAGTAAAAAATGATACCAGATACTTTACCTAATGGAAGGTAAAGTTAAAAACTAAGTGTATCAGAATATTCCAATCTAGTTAAAAACAAGGTCCCGCTCGCTTATTGAAATTAAACTTTTATTCTGAAACCTTAGTGGGTTAATAACTGAATATATGAAAAATCATGCAACTAATCTAAATGAACCTCCCTGATAACATAAAGGGGGTTACACTTGGCGAAATATATTTTTTAAAACATTTTCTATAGTTTTATCTAAAAAACTATATTCCTACATTTTCCCCCATTTAAAAGTGTGCAGTAACAACTATTTCCTGAGATACTACAATTTCAGTTTTGGGTGTGAACTACTGACAATTTAAAAAAATGAAGAGAGGACTAGTTTGAGGTCAATTTCCAAACCAATATAAACTCAGGTTTAAAGGATTCATTTAGTTAATAGGTCACATGTATTTTGCTAAATTGACCAGATTATGAATTTCTAAAAAAAATATTTTTAATACTTGACAGTGTTGGTGGAAGTAGAGACGATGACTCAACTTGCTTCAACCAACTACCCTCCCCCTACCACCCCCACAAAATTCCCAAACCAGAGGCAGTGACCGTACAGTATGAAAAATAATAAGGCAAACAAGTTACATCCCAATAATCTATATAAACAGGGGGGGAAAAGTATGGTTTCTACTGGTATTGGCCTTCAAGGCAGTCTAGACAGGTAGTGAGTAGCACAAGGCTCTATGCAAACACCACACTGACAGAAAGCATCAGCTTCCTGCGCTGTAAGGACTACACCCAAATAAGTTAATTCCTCCAGTATGTCTTGCTTCGCTAGCATATTCACTGTAAAACATGTAACAGACACTTAAAATAGAAGTCAACATTTTGGAAACCAGGTCTTCCTTAAGCTGTGGAAAAATCTGGGTGGCCCAGAAGCCTTCCTTTCTTAAAATAAGGCTGTTTTGCCTCCCACTCTAGAAGAGAGGTGGAGATGTTTACATGGATACATCTGATGTGTTGACACAGCTCTTAGCAATAAGTCCTTCAAAAGGGCGATCTTTTCCTTCAGATTCTGCAACAAAGCTCTGATTGTCACGGTAAGCTGCAAAGAAAAGAACACATCCTAAGTATGCCAGTCCAAACGGAGAGAATCCTCTAACAGTATCATGTAAACGCTGCTTCGTGTGCTATGATTCAATCAAGGGAGGGCTGGAAGAGACCCTTAGCATCCTCCCAATGACAGCCTCAGGGTCGACCGAATCTCAATGGTCACTACAACCTGCCCAGGCGGTAAGCCAGTCATGGCTAACACTGGCATCGACTGGAAATGGTCACTTTCCCTCACCATCTACTGACTTCTGTCCCCTGAGAATCACCCTCTGATCCTGTCTGTCCCTGCTGGAGCCACGCAGGAGACGGTGTTCTCCAGGCTTGGTTCTCCCCAGTGAGAACTCCACCATCCACTCAACCCGGCTTCAAACGACACGACGCCAAGCCCCTTTGCCATCCCGGCCAGTCTTCTCTAAACGCACTGGTACACTTACTAGGATAACTCATTTAAAAGTTCTGTAGCAGTGTGTTCTTTCTACACACGAGGAATGTTAACCATGCACTGCTCTTTTTCCAGGATTGTGTGAATTTTTTCCAATCATTCTATAAACCCAGAGGAAATTTTTGTTTGTGACTATCAGTGCTACCTTAAAGGATGGAGGAGGGGTGGAGAGAGCTTCTTAGGAGCTTAGAAATGTGAAAAATAAAGTCGCCCACGTAAATTAAACATAGTCAGCCATGGATGAAATCAGAGATGTTTAAAAAGGCAGACTATCACAGGTTTCATTTGCTATCATGTTAAAAATGGCAATTATACAACTACAGTGGAAGCAGGGGCTCCCTCCTCAGATTAACAGCAGAACACCAGAAACTGGCCAAAGGCTACCCACATCAAGCAACCCTCAAAAGAATCGACAGCCAAGAAAAGTCTAACCTTAACTATTCTCATACCTCTGGGAACCACAGGAAAACCACCCACAATGTTTATGGGGAAACTCCAAAGAGAAGAAATTTCTCCTCATTCAAGAAGAAAAGAGCTAAATAAACAAACAAAAAAGCAAAACACACACACACACACACACACACACACACACACACACACACACACCAGGCCTAAGAAGAGTCTACAAAGTTAGAGATCAAAAGTATTCAAGAGACAGTGCTCGCTTCGGCAGCACATATACTGAAATTGGAACAATACAGAGAAGATTAGCATGGCCCCTGCACAAGGATGACATGCAAATTCGTGAAGCGTTCCATATTAAAAAAGAAAAGTATTCAAGAGATGAAAGAGTATGTAGTCATTAAAAAGTATGACTGAAGTAAAAATTTGTTGACACAGAAAGCCATCCATCATAATTTATTAAAAGGAAAAAAAATCAAGTCATAAAACACAATGTCACCCACACATGGAAAAAACAATCCAAGAACTAAATACATCAAAATGACAAGGGTGGTGATGTAAGTAGTGGGAAAATGATTACTTTTATAATCAGGAAAAAAAACTTCTATTACCATGATTTAACAGAAACTTTACAAAGAATAGAAAAAGAAGGAATGGCTAATTCATAGTTTAAGCTTACACACTCTGGTAACAAGCACTAACAGAGATCATGGAAAAAGAAACCCACATGGCCATCTCCATTAAGGGTTATAAATGGAAAAGTCTTTCTAAAATATTAGCAAATTCAGAATTACATTAAAAATTACAATAGACCATCACCAAGTAGAATTTACACTAGTAATTAAAGAATAGTTTGTTATTAGAAAATCTAATAATAAAGCAAATAGTGTTAATGATTAAAAACAGAATAAATATATGATTAATACAGTATGGGAGAAATTATTTAAAAACAAAACAAAGAAAGAAAACTATGAATGAAGCACTACTGCCTTAACTGAAATATTATTTAACTTTGGTCTAGAAGTTCTAACCAATACAATAAGACAAATTAAAGAAATACATTAGGGCTAGAAAGGAGATGAAATTATTATTATTCAGATGATTAATAGTCTATTTGGAAAAGTTAAGAGAATCAACTGAAAGATTACTAGAAACAGGAAAAAATTCACTATGCTGATCAAAAATAAAATAAAATAAATCAAGGACATTCCTAAATTCAGTAATAGCTAGGGACATTTTTTTAATTATTATTTTAAGACATTATTAACAATATCAACACAATCTAAAAATTATCTAGCACAGTACCTGGCCTATAGTAACTGCAGGAAATACTGCTGAAGGAATGAGTAAAAGGAAAGACTCAATATTGTAAAAATGTGAATGCTCTCCAATTTAATCTATTCAAAATCCCATTTGGAGTTCTTTTATAGGACAGGAAGTGGTAATTATGGTAAAGGCACAGCACAAAATTCTTTTTCATGAAGCTGTGAAAGGTCACTCTAAAAAAAGGATAAATGAAGAAAAATATAGAAAATTCATGAATAGGTATAATAAAGGGGCATTAGACAATCAGATTGTAAATCTTTATTAAAAACTACAAGAGTATGATGTTGGCAGTTGCTAACAATTTCATTAGTGAAACAGATCAGAAGGTCCAGAAATAGTGCAGTTGTGTGAAAGTTCAGTGAATGAGATACAGAATATTTCATACTAGAGGCCCTGTGCACGAAATTCATGCACGGGGAGGTGGGGGTCCCTCAGCTCAGCCTGCACCCTCTCCAATCTGGGACCCCTTAGGGGATGTCCGACTGCTGGTTTAGGTGGGATCAGGCCTAAACCGGCAGTCAGACATCCCTCTCGCAATCCGGGACTGCTAGCTCCTAACTGCTCACCTGCCAGCCTGCCTGATTGCCCCTAACCACTCTGCCTGCCTGCCTGATCACCCCTAACTGCTCTCCCCTGCCGGCCTGATCGCCCCTAACTGCCTCTGCCTCAGCCCCCACCATGGTGGTTTTGTTCGGACTGATGTCCGGAAGGATGTCCAGAAGACGTCCGGTCTAATTATCATATTACCCTTTTATTAGTATAGATGTTCGGGGGGAAGGTAATTAATAATTTAGCAAATGGGGGAAATCAGATCCCTACAACACACCAAAATAAAACGCAAATATTATAAAGATTTATGTGTTTAAAAAAATAAAAACAGAAGAAAAGCTTAATAGGTAGACAGAGGTAGATGGCTATCCAAACACATCAACAGGGCCTATATACTGACATCGAACTCAGAAACCAATTGTTTGTCTTCACCTGTCTACTAATAATACTAGTCATAATAATAGTTATACTTGATCTTTTTTTCTATATAATTTGTTTATGATTATTGAACATGTATGAGATAACTGTTAACACTCTTTTATTGCTTATGTAAATGTTATACAAGATGCCAAACACAGAGAATGAGACAGACGGCAAAACCTGGATCATGACAATTCACAGAATAGAACTGATCCAGAGTGTTTTTTGCAGAGAAGGCCATAAGACCTGACTGCCTTCCATTTACCTGCCCTTCCTTTTGGGGGAGAAATTAGGCCTCCACTCAGATGCCATGGTAATGGCATTGCCCCATCCCGTGGTCAACAAGATAATGTCGATACTGAAACTGCTAGGAATGAACCTTCCTAGATCTGTGAGACCACACTATTCTCGAACAAAAGGCTGATCATCAGCAAATCCTTGAGACTGATCTATGACCAAAAGGGGGAATTGTGGATAAAAAAAGGGTGTTCTATGCAAAGTAACCTCACAGGGTGATCTGATCACAAATTCCTAACTGGGCAGGTCATGGTGGTAGTCACTCCTGAGACCTGTAATTTCTTTAGTAAAAGGTTTTAAGACAGCTCTGCCCATTGTTCTTGTGCATCTAAATTAACACACCTTTAAAATACCATACGAAAGCCCGGCCTGTGTGGCTCAGTGGTTGAGCATCCACCTAGGAACCAAGAGGTCACCAGTTCAATTCCTGGCCAGGGCACATGCCCGGATTGTGGGCTCGAACCCTAGTAGGAGGCGTGCAAGAGGCAGCTGATCAACATTTCTCTCTCATTGATGTTTCTATCTCTCTATCCCACTCTCTTCCTCTCTCTCTCTCTAAAAATCAATAAAAACATATTTTTTTTAAAAAATACCAGAATACCCCTGGAAGTGGGTATTATCCTCAAGAGAGCAAATAATCTTGTTAACTATCCTGTAATCCAATCCCCATCTTGATTCCTCCGATCTTCCTTACCCTCTCCTTAATTTCAAATGCATAAAAAAAAAGCTGCAAAACTGTTATTCTCTCTCTCTCCCCCTTCCTTCCACTCTCTCTGGGGGGGCAAAAAAAACAAATGAAACAATATTTTTTTTAAAAAAAAATCACATATACCTTGATTCTAAGAATTCACCCTTAAAAGATACCTCTTAAAAATACAAAGAAAAAAAGCACAAAGCTATTTATTGCAGCATTATTCATAACAGCAACAGACTGGAAGCAATCTAAAGCCCAATAGAATACACACTAGAATATTATACATCCCTAATCAATTAATAGAGAGATTTCTACAATATATTATTAAATAAAAAGAGCAAAATACAAAAGAACATTTTGTTTAAAAGGAAGAGAAAAATACACACAGAGAGAAATGCTTATTTCTGCAAAAAGTAATACAGGAAGAATAAATCAGAAATTAATGAAAATACTTATCTATAGGAAGTAGGTGAAGAAAAGGTGGAAGGCTGAGGTGGGAACAAAACTTTGAGTGTACTTTTGTGTACAATTTTGACTTTTTAACAATGTAAATGTTTTACATATTTAAAATTAAATCAACAAGGTGAGGGGGGAAAGTAAACCCTAAGAATGAATATAAACAGAAACAAAGGATAGCATAAGACAAAGAAAAAGAGAATCGATTTTTACATTTTTAAATGTAATGTGTAAAAAAAGACTATTATTCTTTTGGTAAGAATGAATACTCAAAGAAATGAGGACATTGCCTCTGGTCCTACAAAACCTAAAGGAGTTACTATCTGCGGGGGGAAGGGTACCAACCCTAGAACTAGACTAAAATGGTCAGAAACTTTTAAGATAAAACAGGAGAAATTAAAGAGACGTCCTGCTTCATTTAGTGTCAGTGACTAAGTAACTATTAACTGTTTGGTTGTAATGTCAATGCAACACACATGTAGGCCATTATACATGCACACATACACACACACAAACCCTCAGAAATACGTGGGTTTTCAGACCTCAAAGCTCAAACAAATCATTTGCAGTACTACTAGTAATTCCCTCCTGGTCATACCTTGGTTGTACTTTCACCATTTCTTTCATACTGGTTTCTTTGTTGAATTTTCTCAGCAATCTCTTGTGCAATTTGACAAGTAGAATCATATGTGGAGAACCTGTACCAAAGTCATAAAAGGAGAAAAACATTTAAGTTACTTTAAAAGAAATTTATGCATTATATATTTATATACTATATAGATGAATTTTTTTTCATGGATATCAAAAACGAGCAGGTGATTCAAGACATGCATCAAGAAAATAGGAGGAAGCTCAAAAGGAAAATTGGGTCCTGGTCCCAACTTTGCTACATTTCCTCTTTTTCTCCTCCACACTATCTATAATAATAAAAGCGTAATATGCTAATCAGACTGGACAGCCTTCCAGACGACCTTCCGGACGAGGCCAGGACTGCGAGGGAAGCCCGGGTCCCGGGTGCCAGAGGAAAGCTGGTGCCGGCAGCCAGGGGAAAGAAGGCCTACTCTGGCACAAATTTCGTGCATCGGGTCTCTAGTCATCTATAAAAAGAACAGCTTAGTGGAGGTATCACATTCCCTGACTTCAAATTATACTACAATAATCAAAAAAACAGACACAGAAAAATGGAACAGAATTGAGAGCCCCGAAATGAACCCATATTTATGTGGGCAGCTAATTTTCGACAAGGGAGTCAAAACCATACAATGGAGAAAAGAGCCTCTTCAATAACTGGTGCTGGGAAAACTGGAAAGCCACATGCAAACGACTAGAACTACACTGCTAGTTGACACCATGCACAAAAATTAACTCAAAACGGATCAAAGACCTAAATATAAGACCTGGAACAATAAAATACATGGAAGAAAACATCGGCACTAAACTTATGAACCTTAGTCTCAGAGAGGATTTTGTGAATTTGACCCCAAAGGCAAGGAAATCAAAAGCAAAAATAAATGCATGGGACTGTATCAAACTAAAAAATTTCTGCATAGCTAAAGAAACCAACAAAACAAAAAGACAACCAACTGAATGGGAGAAGATATTTGCAAACAATACTCCAATAAGGGGCTAATATCTAAAATATATATAAAAAAAAAACTCATACATACAACGAAACAACAAAAAACAAACAATCCAATGGGCAGAGGACTCGAACAGACTTTTTTCCCAAGAAGACATACAAATGGCCAACAGATATATGAAAAGATGTTCAACTTCACTTGGTATAAGGGAAATGCAAATCAAAACTACAGTGAGAAACTACCTCACACATTGTTATGTTCGATTGGCTACTATCAACAAGACAAGTAATAAGTGCTGGTGAGGATGTGTAGGAAAGGGAACCCTCATGGACTGCTGGTGGGAATGCAGATTGGTGCAGGCGCTGTGGAAAACAGTAGGGAGTTTCTTCAAAAAAAATTAAAAATGGAGCTGCCTTATGACCCAGTGATTCCACTTTTGGGAATATATATGAAGACACTCAAAACACCAATCAGAAAGAATATAAGCACCCCTATTTTCATTGCAGTATTATTTACCATAGCTAAGATTTGGAAGTTGCCCAAGTGTCCAGCAGTAGAAGAGTGGATAAAAAAGCAGTGGTACATTTACACAATGGAATACTACTTGGCCATAAAAAAGAAGGCAATCTTACCTCTTGTGTCAGCATAGATCAGTGATGGCGAACCTTTTGAGCTCAGCGTGTCAGCATTTTGAAAAACCCTAACTTAACTCTGGTGCCGTGTCACATATAGAAATTTTTTTATCTTTGCAACCATAGTAAAACAAAGACTTATATTTTTGATATTTATTTTATATATTTAAATGCCATTTAACAAAGAAAAATCAACCAAAAAAATGAGTTCGCGTGTCACCTCTGACACGCATGTCATAGGTTCACCATCACTGCCCTTAGACATCTGCCAGACTGTGTCCTGGAAAGCAAACAAACTAATTTTTCAAGACAAATCCCCAGTATCTGCTCAACTTAAAGAAAATCTTCATCCTTTCATTGTCACATAGCAATAGCCACTGCTTAAAAGAGCAGGCCACTCTTTGTTCCCTACCCTGTACTGACTAGCAATACTTGGCCCTTTCCTCTATTGAAAAGTAAAATGCACGTCCTCTCTGCATCTCTTCTTTTAGTTGTGAATTCTTTCACATCCGGCATCACTAGCCAAACTCTAACAGGAATAAAGATAGTCTCTTCAAAAATGGCATTGGAAAACTGGACAGGTACATGCCAAAAATGAAAGTAGACCACTAACTTACACCACAAGAGAATAAACTCAAAATGAATAAGACTTAAATATAAGTCACAAAACCATACAAATTCTAGAATAAACTATAGGCAGTAAAATCTGAGACATCTCATGTAGAAGTATTTTAACCAATACATCTCCTAGGGCAAGAGAAACAAAGGAAAAACAAAGAAATGGGACTATGTCAAACCCAAAAGATCTGTACAGCAAAAGTAACCATCTACAAAATTAAAAGGGAACCCATTATATAGAAGAATGTATTCATCAATGATACATCTGATAAGGGGTTAATTTCCAGAATATACAAAGAACTCATACAACTCAAAACCAGAATGGCAAACAACCCAATTAAAAAATAGGCAAAGGACCTGAACAGACATGTCAACAAAGAGGACATACAGATGCCAATAGACATATGAAAAAAATGTTCAATGTCACAAATCATCAGAGAGATGTAACTTAAAAATACAATGAGGTTTCACCTCACACCTGCCAGAATGGCTGCTATCAATAATCTCTTTTATTAGTGTAGATATTTAAATGCCATTTAACAAAGAAAAATCAACCAAAAAAATGAGTTCGCGTGTCACCTCTGACACGCATGTCATAGGTTCGCCATTACTGGCATAGATGGACCAGGAGAACATTATGCTAAATGAAATAAGCCATTCAGAGACAGACAAGTACTGTATGATTTCACTTAAATGTGGAATCTAATGAGCAAAATAAACTGGCAAACAAAACAGAAACAGACTCATAGATACAGAGAACAGACTAACAGCTGTCAGAGGGGAGAGAGGGGTTTCAGATTGCAGGGGACTGGATGAAAGAAGGTGAGGGAATCAAGCAAAAATCAAACAAACAAACCATAAGATACCTATATAACACATAAATACAGATAACAGTGTGGTGACTGCCAGAGGAAAAGGGCAGTGGGGAGTAAGTGGAGGTGGGCAAAGAGGGGGAGAATGGGGACAGAAAGAGACTTTGCTTGGGTGATGGGACCACAATGCCATGTGCAGATGATGTTTTGTTGAGTTGTACACTTGAAACCTGTATGGTTTTGTGAACCAATGTCACCCCAATAAATTCAATTTAAAAAAAAAGCAGAGCCTATATCTAGTTTTTGAGAGAATGTAATTTGTTATACCCTCAGGGGCCAAAACTTTCAAGGTTTTAATGAAAGATCACCCTGGCTGGTATGGCTTAGTGGGTTGAGCATTGTCCCGTGTATCAAAAGGTCGCCAGTTCCATTCCCGGTCAGGGCACATGCCCTCATTGCCGGCACAGACTCATACAGAAAACAGACTAACAGCTGTCAGAGGGGAGAGAGCGGTTTCAGATTGGGGTGACAAAGGTGACAGGATTAAGGGGGGGGACACTCACAGACACAGGCCACATGGGATTACCAGAGGGAGGGGGTGTGAGAGAAAGCAAAAGAGTGGTAGACAGGGAATCAATGGTGATGGAAGGAGACTCCACTTTGTGTAGTGAACAATGAATAAATACCCTATACCAGTGGTTCTCAACCTTCTGGCCCTTTAAATACAGTTCCTCATGTTGTGACCCAACCATACAATTATTTTCGTTGCTACCTCATAACTGTAATGTTGCTACTGTTATGAATCGTAATGTAAATATCTGATATGCAGGATGGTCTTAGGCAACCCCTGTGAAAGGGTCTCGTTCGACCGCCAAAGGGGTCGCGACCCCACAGGTTGAGAACCACTGCCCTATACCGATGATGTATTATAGAATTGTACACCTGAAACCTATATAATTTTATTAACCAACTAGAGGCCCGATGCACAAAATCTGTGTAAGGGGCTCAGCCCTCGCAGCCACTGCGGCTTGCCTCAGCCCGGCTTTGTCTGGAAGGCTGTCCGGAAGGATGTCTGGCCTAATTAGCATATTACACTTTTATTATTGTAGATGTCACCCCAATAGATTCAATAAAGGCTTAAAAAAACAAAAATGAAAAAAATTTTGAAGAGGAGCTTAGCTCTGGCTCTGTGGTTCCAGAACATACATATGAAAATCAATAAATAATAGGATACAATATTATCTCCCACCAAAATGTGGGGTATAAATGGTGTTTCTGGAATTCCAAAGTCAGAGAAATTACTGTTATCAAGGCACTCAGACCTGACAGCATGAGGCCAAAGGCTACATCTTGGGCTGAGGCACCAGGTTAAAGCAAGCCTCTCATTCAGACAGATGCCAGGGGCACCTTTCAGATGTGGCAAAAGGCACAAGGAGCAGAAGACGAAAGGAACAACATGTGTCTGGCCCCTTCAGCTGAATGATGGCCCTGGGTAGGAAGGTAAAGTTTAAAGTGATAAAGAGGAGAAGCTAGTTTCTGAAGAGCCTAGAACACCAGCCTAATCAGATTAGATTTGTAAGAGAATTTCAGAGCTGTAGGTATTACTTTCACACATAAAGCAAGGCGTTGATGAGGTTAAGTGAAATGCTGAAGGCCAAAATCCCAGGGGTCTTGCCTGCAATCCTCACATTCTCACTTTAACCGTAAAGAGCAGTGGTTCTGAAACTTTGCTACATATTGAATAAATGGGGAATCTTTAAAAAACAAAAAATCGCCACCAACTCCTGCCTCTCCCCCATCCCCACCCCCAGCATTCTGGTTAAATCGGTACGGGGTTCGCCCTGGATAAGACAAGTTGTAAATGCTCCCAGGTGGTTCCAATCTGTAGCAAAGTTTGGGAACCACTGGCCTGGTGGTAATGCAACCTTATCACCACATCAAGCATACAAATGCCTCAAGTACTAGTTTAGGAAAATTAACCTGAACTCCATTTACATAAACTGTTGGGAAGGAGAGAAAGTGACAGGAGACTAGTACAAGACTTCTCAAGCTG